AGGATCTCTATCGGCTCCAAGATGACATGGCGCGTAGGCCCGCTGCAAGACCAGTTGGTGTTCCTAAGACAAGGTTGGTGGCACTAATGTATTCTTGATTGTATTTTCTTTTTCGAGTCTGTATTTTCATTTTTAAAAGTATGTTTCGAGTCTGTTTGAAGTTTTAAATTCCTAGAAAAAATATGTCTTGAGTCTGTTTGAAGTTTTAATGTCCTAGAAAAAGTATGTTTCGAGTCTTTTGTAATTCAGTAAAGTAGAGGTTTTATTTAATGAAAATTTGAAAAAAAAACACAAAAATTGTTTCTTTATTTTTTGCATTTATTTCTTGAACTACGTAATGATCTGATTCACGCGGTGTCGTGACACGTAGGCAATCCTCATCGTATCCGGTCATATCTTTTTTTAAATAACTCAAATAAAAGAGGATATGGAAGGAAAGAACCGAAAGAAAACCAAAAAGAAAGAAAAAGAGAGTCAAAGAAAAAACCAAAGGAAAAACGGGAAAAGAGGGCAAGACAAGAAAAGAGAGGAAAATAGGAATAAGAGGAGAAGCATTAAAGAGCCAAAGTGGAGAAATAAACGAAAGCCGGGATGAAACACGCAACCGTTGCAAAACATGTAGAAACACATTTAACTGTATAGGTGCATCACACCCCAATGTGCGATTCCCTATGTGTTAATTGCCTCGCACTAACCGGTTTGTTGTGTTTGTATCAAGTCCAGGCTCTATAGTAAGGTGGTTGGTTTTGTGGTGCTCGGGCTTCACATCCTTACTTCACAAGGTCAAAGGGAAGCGTGGAAATGTCATCTGAGGGTCATCTACCAACGGTTCCTATCCCCGAGGATAGCCCGATTTCGGCCATCCCAACTTCGAAATCAGCCGCTGCAGAGGAAAACAGAATTCTGCGTCTCCGCATGATGGAAATGTGGGATGCCTGGTCTAATGGTAAGGAACCACCAAGTGTGATCCCTGGATTCCCCGAGCTACTTCCCAGGGCAAGTGGCACCTCCAACGTCCCCATAAGTTACCCGAATACTCCGTTGGGATATCCTACCATTTCGGCTCACTTTGCCTGAACACCTTCTGAGGTTCGCCCACAGGTGTTGATGTCAGGCACAACCTCCAATATATTCACTGCGCCACCTTCTTCAGCCCCGGCGCAACCCACTCTGCCAAGGCCAAACTTTGATCCATCATCCTTCACCTTTCAAGCACCATCTTTCCCACTAGAACCTACCCAGTTCACTACCAATACTTACCCTCAGCATCCCCGGTACGAGTTTACCCCGGGACAGGAGAAAACCTCAAAGAACCCTGAACAAGAGGAGATTGCCCGAAAAATGAGGAGTATGGAGCAAAGTCTAAAAAATATACAAGGTTTGAATGGGCAAAAGAGCGTATCTTACGCTGACCTGTGTATGTTCCCACACGTGCATCTACCCTTGGGTTTCAAAACCCCGAAGTTTGAAAAGTATGACGGGCATGGGGATCCCATAGCCCACCTCAAAAGGTACTGCAATCAATTGCGGGGAGCAGGTGGAAAAGAAGAGCTCCTCATGGCTTATTTTGGAGAGAGCCTGGTCGGTATTGCTTCTGAATGGTACATGGACCAGGATATATCTCGGTGGCATATTTGGGATGATCTGCTCGGGATTTTGTCAGGCAGTTTCAATATAACATCGACATTGCCCCTAACAGGAACTCATTGTCAAATCTAAAGAAAAAGTCCTCGGAAAGCTTCCGAGAGTATGCTGTCAAATGGCACGAACAAGCAGCCAGAGTCAAACCTCCAATGGATGAAGTGGAGATGGTCAGTGTTTTTCTTCAAGCCCAAGAGGCAGATTATTTTCAGAATATGATGTCTGCGATGGGAAAACCATTTGCCGAAGCCATCAAAATTGGCGAAATGGTCGAGAATGGGTTAAAAACAGGGCGTATATTGAGTCAGTCTGCTATAAGGGCTACCTCCCAAGCCATTCAAGGTGGGTTTGGAGGTGTAGCAAACCGAAAGAAGAAGGAAGAAGCGGCAATGGCAACTTCAAGTGTAAGAAAACCCCATCCATCCAAACCTTACTTCGATACAAGTACCCCACAACATTACTATCCCCATCAAGATGCGGCCTATGCTATGGCTCCTCGGCCATACGCAGTGATGAATGCACAACCATACGTTAAGCCACAACAACAATTCAATCAAAACCAAGCTCCATTTCCCAGAAATCAACCTCCTTACCAAGCTCAGTACAATCCCCGACCTCTACAGAACAACTTCCCCTACAATGCCCGCACCCTGGAACCACCCAAGATGGCAAACTTCACACCCATTGGTGAGTCATATTCCAGCCTTTTCCCCAAACTTGTCCAGATGGGTTTGTTGCAGCCTGTACCCCAAACCATGCAGAACCCAGCGTCGCCCGCTTACAGAGCCGGTACTCGATGTGCTTACCACTCAGGGGCGGAAGGGCATGATACAGATGATTGTTGGACCCTAAAAAGGGCTGTGGAAAACCTCATAGAACAGAAGCGAATAGTGCTAAAGGACGAAGACGTTCCTAATGTAACCAACAATCCATTACTGGCTCACAATAACGGGCCGATTATTGGAATGATCTGTGAAGATAGAGAGTTTGAACCAGCTCTAAAAGCCATCATTGCCATAGCCGATGTGGAATAGAAACCAAGGGCTGCCACAAAACAGGACAAAGGGTAGAAGAAGAGTAAACTCGCCCCTCAGAATACAGAAAAGAAAGAGGAAATCGAAACTGGGGCAGCGCCCTCAAAAGATGTCGTTCTCTATGTTCCCCGGGGCCGCAAGAAAGAACAGATGTCATTAAGCCCTCCAAGAAGGTTTGAGTTAAACAAGGGATCCAAAACGTATGTGCCTAAAAGGACCTACGTGGTGCGGGGGCCAGTAATTTCACCAAGGCTGAATGAGCCCGTGGTTATTGGCCGTGCACCGCAGAGGCCCATGACATACCCCACTACCGTCCCATGGAATTACAACAAGGCGGTAGTGACCTACAAAGGGAAAGAAATCACAGGGGAAGTACGTGAAACCAACCCATCCGGGGGGTACCTCAATCTGGAAGAAGTGAATAATGCCACAAAGAAACGTTTCCTACTAAAGAAGCCTATTAGTGCTGAAGAGGCCGAAGAGTTCTTCAGGAAAATGAAAATGGCGGACTACGAGATAATTGACCAGCTCCGGAAGACTCCTGCTCAGGTCTCTTTTTTGTCTCTGCTAATGAATTAAACTGAACATCAGAAAGTATTGATCAAAACCCTCAACGAAGCGTATGTACCCATCGAAACCACTGTGGAACGAGGATGGCGGAAAGGTTTTTTGCAATCAATCAGATCTCTTTCAGCAAGAATGATTTGCCCCCGGAAGGGGCCGCCCACAACAAAGCCCTTCATCTGACAGTTAAAAGCGAAGGATATTATGTGAAAAGTGTCATGCTAGATGGTGGTTCTAGGGTAGATATCTACCCTCTCTCAACTCTGCAAAGAATGGAAATCGGTACTGAGAGAATCAGGCCCAACAACGTCTGTGTGCGTGCCTTTGATGGCATCAAGAGATATACCATTGGTGAAATTGATTTGATTCTGACTATTGGTTTGGTGGATTTCGAAGTAACCTTTTAGGTCCTGGATATGGATACTTCCTATAATTTCCTCTTGGGAAGACCTTGGATTCACGCAGCAGGGGTTGTACCTTCCACTCTCCACCAGATGGTGAAATTTGAACATGAGGATCAAGAGATTGTACTCCATGGAGAGGACGAGCAGTCGATTTACCGGGACCCATCAGTCCCATGTCTCGAAGCCAGAAAAGATAGTGAGCATATAGTTTACCAAGCTTTTGAAGTGGTGGTCGCAGACCAATGTAAAGAAGGAAACCCTTGTCCTCAACGTTTTCTCTCAAATGCGTCAATTATGGTTGCCAAGGAAATGATCAGGCATGGTTACAAACCCTGGAAGGGGCTCGGGACGTCACTACAAGGAATCAACGAACCTATCACTCTGGCTGCTAGCGAGAGGTTCTTTGGGGTAGGTTTCCAACCCACGCCAGCTGATGAAAAGTGGGCAGATAAACGAAAGAATGATGGTTGTGTCTTGCCTCAGCCGATTCCGCATCTTTATAGAACATTTGTCAGGCCCAAGTACAATGAGGAAGAGGAAGATGAGGCCTTCACGGCCGAGGAAATTGAGGAAATCTGTGGGGCTAAGAGGCAGATGCTGTATGAAACCCACATGGTTCAGCCGGGAGAAGGCTCAAGCACCGCTGAGGTGCTATACATGGGACCCAATGCCAAGTTGCAAAACTGGAAGGCTACTCCGTTCCCAATCAGGCGGGAATCCCGGTAGTAAAGTCCTGCCACCTTTTTCTACATCACGAGTTATTTCAGGGTGTAACTCGGATTTTTCTTTAGTTTCCTGTCTTTAATTTCCAATGTAAACCCTGTTATCTTCAAAATTCAATAAAATGAAATCAATATTTCATCGTTCTTCTCTCTTTATTCTTTCTGATTTTGTTATTTTTCTCTCTTATTTCTTATTCCAGTTCTAATAATGCGGCTTTAAATAACATGACATGCTTGCAGACTTCATGCCCAGATTCAAACACGCTGTCTAATTGTGAAATAATGAATCAAGAACCGGAATATGATGAAGAAGAGGCTTTTAGGGAAATAAACCAAGAATTGGAACAATTCGAGAATAAACCTAAGCCAAACTTAAATGAAACCGAGCTGGTTAATTTGGGTAGTCCTGAAGTGGTCCAAGAAACCATGATAAGCATTCATACGGATGAAAGAACCAGGGATGCATTGATCCAACTTTTGTTCGAATTTAAAGATGTGTTTGCTTGGTCCTACGATGACATGCCAGGATCGAGTGTTGACCTGGTGGTGCACAAATTGCCAACTTACCCTGATTATCCCCCTGTCCAGCAAAAACAGAGGAAATTCAAAACTGATATTAGTGACAAGATCAAAGAAGAGGTCACTAAACAATTGAAAGCAGGTGTGATCCGGGTGGTCCGATATACCACTTGGTTGGCCAATGTGGTCCCAGTGCCAAAGAAAGACGGGAAAACCCAAGTGTGTGTTGATTATCGGGATCTGAACAAAGCAAGTCCCAAGGACAACTTCCCTCTGCCAAACATTCACCTCCTCGTTGACAACTGTGCCAAACATGAGATACATCAGGTCTTGATGGATGAAGAAGATGCGGAAAAGACAGCCTTCACCACACCCTGGGGCACCTATTGTTACAGGGTCATGCCTTTTAGTTTGAAGAACGCGAGGGCAACGTACATGAGAGCTATGACTACCATCTTTCATGACATGATGCACCAAGAGATCGAGGTATATGTGGACGATGTGATCATTAAGTCCAAAACACAAGATGACCATGTTCGAGATCTGAGGAAGTTCTTTGAGCATCTGCGCAAGTATGATTTGAAGCTAAACCCAGCTAAATACGCATTTGGAGTCCCATCTGGGAAGCTTTTGGGATTTATAGTCAGTTAGAGGGGCATCGAGCTAGACCCAACAAAGATAAAGTCTATTCGGGATTTGCCTCCTCCAAGAACCAAGAAAGAGGTCATGAGCCTGCTGGGAAGGTTGAACTACATTAGCCGATTCATAGATCAATTGACTTCCACATGTGAACCCATCTTCAAGCTGTTAAAGAAAGATGCAGCAGTCAAATGGATGGATGAGTGTCAAGAAGCCTTTGACAAAATCAAAGAATACCTGTC